TAACACAAAATTCTAACTTAAATGAATTTTATACAATAACAAAAATTAAAATTGTAAAAGAAGAAGACGATTTTGTAATGAAAAATTCACAATGGATACTTCATTAAATTTTAAGTTTGGGAATAAATATAAATAAATATGTTCCTTTTAAGGGTTCTTCATATATTCCATTACCTAAACATATTAGTAATAAAAATGGTATTATAAATGTTAAAAATAAAGATGATAAATATTTTCTTTGGGCAATACTCTCTGCTTTACACCCTGTTGAAAAAGATGCTCAAAGAGTAACTAAATATATTCCTTTTAAAAATGAATTTGATAAAGAATTTAAAGATATTGAATTTCCGGTAAAAATCACAGACGTTCCGAAAATTGTTAAAAGAACAAAAGATATTTCTATTAATATTTTTTATTTAGTTAAAAATGTAATTGAACCTTTCGGTGAAATAACTAAAATCGAAAAAACTAATCATATAGATTTATTATATTTAACAGTGGATGATAAGGATAATGTGAATAAAGGACATTATTGTTGGATTAAATATTTATGGAAAGTAGTAGGAAGACAAAATACAAAAGATGGTCATAAAAGATTTTTGTGTAAAATGTGTTTAAATAGTTTTGGTACAGAAAATAAGTTAAATGATCATAAACATTATTGTTCTAATAATAAAGCTGCTAAAATAGTTCTACCAGAACCCTATAATAAAACTTTAGAATTTCAAAATTATAATCATTCCTTAAGAGTACCTTTTGTGGTTTTTGCTGACTATGAATGTACTCTTAAACCAATATATACTTGTCAACCAAATGATACAGAGTCTTTTACTAATTGTTATCAGAAACATATACCTAATAATTTTTGTTATTATATTAAATATAGTAATGGTGATTATAAACCTCCTGTAGAATATTTTGGTCCAAACGTAGCTCTAGTATTACATACAATACATTACTAATACATTATGAAACACTAAAATTATATATTAATTTAGGTTTAAAGATAGAGAAAATTCATAAAGTATTAGAATTTAGTCAATCTCCTTGGTTAAAAATGTATATTGATTTTAATACTAATCTTAGGTCAGAAGCTAAGAATGAGTTTGAAAAAGAATTTTTCAAATTAATGAATAATAGTGTTTATGGACGTACTATGATGAATGTTCGAAATCATGTTGATATAAAATTTTGTTCTAATGCAGCCCAACTAGAAAAATTAATTATAAAACCAAATTTTGATCGAAGGACAATTTTTACAGAAAATTTAGCTGCCGTACATATGAAAAGAACACAAATATCTTTCAAACAACCAATATATGTAGGAATGGGTATTTTAGATTTATCTAAAATGTTAATGTATGATTTTTTTTATAATATTATAAAGAAAAAATATGTAAATAGAGTTAGATTGTTATATACAGATACAGATTCACTAATATTAGAAATAAAAACTAAAGATTTTTATCAAGATATGAAAATTATGTTAGATCATTTTGACACTTCAGATTATCCAAAAGATAATATTTATGGTTTACCTTTAGTTAACAAAAATGTTTTAGGCAAGTTTAAAGATGAGTTAAATGGAAAAATAATGTCTGAATTTATAGGTTTAAGATCTAAATTATATTCTCATCGAATCTTAGATACTGAAAAAGAAATTAAAAAAGCTAAAGGTGTTAAAAAAAATGTTGTAGAAAATATAAATATGTTTTAATGATTTTGAAAATTGTTTACTAACAAAAAAATCAAGATATGTTAAACAAAATTTATTTAGAACTAAGAAACATGATATTTTTACTGTAGAACAAAACAAAAAAGCTTTAAGTGTTTATGATGATAAAAGATTTATTTTGGAAAATGGTATTGATACATTAGCTTGGGGACATTATAAAACAAACATAGATAGAAACGATTTTGTAAACCATCTCAATACACTGATTAGAAATCAAAATCAAAAAGATTAGAAAAATATTTTTAATAGAACAATGTTAAAAAAATTTTTTTACTAATATAAATAATAGAAATGGAAAATTGTAAAAAACTTTTAGAAATGGAAAATTGTAAAAATCATTTAGATTTGATCCAAAGGTATAAAAATATAAGTTCTAAACACTAATGGGAAGCTCCTTGACCTTGTATTCTGCAATAATGAGATGGCTTCAGTGGACACTGTTTTAGACACTCTTGTTCCATGCGACCCTTATCACCCTGCCCTGTGTATTAATATTTCGGCTGAGAAAACTGTACCCATACCTATAAATTCTCACAATTTTTTTAATTTTCATCAAGCATCATATCCTGATATAAACAAATTTTTACTATCTTTCAATTGGTATGACACGTTTTTGTCTCTCGATGTAAATTCTGCCACAAACGCTTTTTATGATGCACTTCATTCCTGTATACTACAATTTGTGCTTAAAGTCTCCTTTACTCCCTCAAAATTTCCTGCCTGGTTCACTAAAGACCTAAAAGCGCTGGCATTTGATAAAAAACGTGCGCATGCTAAATACAAATCAACATGCAACCAGATTATATATCTTTCTCTTATATTCGTGCTCGTTCAAGTCTGAATCTAAGAAATGCTATAAAGCACACCTTTTTCGTACCGAATCAGCTCTTAAGTATAATCCTCGTTCCTTTTGGGACTTTGTTAGAAAGAGCAAATCACAAAATGGTATACCTAATTTAGTCCACTTAAATGGCTCCTCTTGCACCGGCCCCGAAAAGATTTCCAATCTTTTTGCTTCACACTTCAACTCTGTTTACACATCCAATACTAGTAATACATTCGATATGCCATTTCTCCAACATGATTTACCAAGCAACTCCAGCATTAGCATCGTAGATATTGAAGCAGGTCTGGATAAGCTTAAGAACTTAAAATCAGTTGGTCCTGACGGGCTCTCTGGCATTTACTTGTACAATATTCGAAATTCCATTAGCTTTCCTCTACTGCTACTTTTCCGACGCTCACTTGATGAAGGAGTTACCCTTCTATATGGAAAATGAGTTGTGTTTCTCCAATACATAAATCAGGTGACAAATCCGACGTTAAGAACTATAGACCAATCTCTATATTATCCCATTTAGCTAAGCTGTTCGACTCACTTGTCCTCCAGAGTATTCAACCATCTGTGAACTCTGTACTGATTGATGAACAACATGGCATCAGACCCGGCCGCTCCACAATAACGAACTCTATGATCTTTAACAAGTATATCTTCGAGGCCTTTGAAAAAAACCTCCAAGTAGATACAATATATACGGACTTGTCAAAGGCCTTTGACCGTGTAGACCACTCAGCTCTTGTCCAAGTTCTTTACAAGACAGGCTTTGGCGATCCTCTCTTGTCTTGGTTCAGGTCTTATTTATCCGACAGATTACAATGGATTAAGACCAATGGGCATAAATCATCGGTGTCTTTCGTACCGTCCGGTGTTCCACAAGGTGGCCACTTATCACCACTACTATTTGCCCTATTCTTAAATGGAATAAAAAAAATCATACCAAACTGCAAATTCCTTGTTTTTGCAGACGACCTCAAGCTGTTCCTGAAAATTAGATCTATAGATGATTGTCACTTACTTCAATCTAATTTAGACAATGTGGCTTCCTACTTATGTTCACTAGGACTTCACTAGGTCTTAATGTGAAGAAGTGTCTAACTATGTCATTCACTAGAAGTCGATCTGTTATCCCCTTCCAGTACAAGATTTTTGATTCTTCCCTTGTATCAGTCATGAGCGTGAAAGACCTAGGTATACTTTACAACCCTACTCTGGATTTTCACTCACACATTGAATCTTCGTGTTGTAGGGCACTAAAAGTGCTAGGATTTGTGAAGCGAATAGCTTCCGAATTCAAGCTGGAATCATCGTTAAAAGTGCTCTATTGTTCCTTAGTTAGATCTATTGTAGAATATGGTTCCGTGTTATGGGACCCACATACAACCTCTAGCTCCCTACAACTAGAGCGTGTGCAAAGACGCTTCTTATCGTTTGCTGCCTATGTACTTAAGATAGATCATGTCCCTCATGACTACTTCCCGGTGCTCACTGAACTACATCTAACTTCACTGGTTGATAGAAGAGCAACTGCTAATCTATCATTTTTACGAAAGCTCTTGGACGGATCAATAGACGCTCCCACTCTTCTCTCCAGTATCAATTTTAAAGTACCACAGCGTTCCCTCCGTTCTTATACAACATTCTCCATCCCAAATTGCTCTACAAACTACGGCCGTAATAATCCTATCTATCGTATGATGCGCATAGCAAATTAACACCCATCATTCCCTACCTAAACTAACCTTATTGTTGTAATTGTTATTTACTGTTCTATTAAAAATGTAATTATTAATATTTAAATATTTAAATGTAATTTTATACTTAGTGTACACTTGTAATGTAATTGGGCTCTGCCTGTAATGTTTGAAATAAATAAATAAAAAATAAATATATACTACTTGCATCACTTAACACTCATTTTACACAAAATACAAGGAACTTATTTTGAAGTTTTTCGACTAGATACATAAATATTTTATACATTATTCTATTTACTTTATAAATAATGTAAAACGCATGTATCACGAACTACGATATACAAGACTGGAAACAAAAAGGTTGGAGGGTGTGAGAGGTAAATCCTCCTTAATGTATGCAATGAGCGGGGTACGGGGGCTTCGAGTTCTTGTCAACACTAGCGGCATCTAGGTATCCAAAACAATAAATTAATAAATCGGTATGCTAATCAACAAGAGCTTAATTTCCCGCCTTTTTCATGCTTCGTAAAATATATAATTATACAATAATATTATAATATATTATTATACATTTTATACCTAATTAACATAGTATAATTATAATTCATAATAATTGTGTCTGTTTGATCTTGACTTTGGTGACCTGATGTTCAACCTTTTTAAGAAAGATGCATGCTGAATATTTTTTATAATTTTTATTTAATTTGTTTATCTTAAAATACACACAATTATGGTGAGGTGTTGTGTAATAAATTGTCTTTCACATAATGAAAAAAATAAAAAAATTTCATTATTTACTTTACCGAAAAATCCAAATATTCGCAAAAAATGGATCAACGTTCTATCTGAAGTTAATGGTAAAGATATATTATCTACATCACGAGTGTGCGAGTTACATTTCAATCCATGGGATATATCTCGGACATATTCGTGTTGGAGCAGTACCAGTTCTAAAACCACTCTAGAGTCAACTGAAACAGCAGAAACCAAGGAAGTATAAATTAAATACTTATATAGTTATTAGTTGTGTACTTAAAAATATTTATAATTTTCAGGATTTTTTACAAAGAACTATAAGACCAAAACTAAACACTAATGCAATTCCATCAATATTTGAAGTAAAACATTCACAGAAAGCGCCACAATCTCCAGCAGCTTGCTGTAAAAAACTTGATTGGTCTGATGAGCCATTTACAATTAAACCTCAAGAGACTAGTTTGCAAGTAAGTATATTTTATTGTACTAGTACAAGTTATTATTTTTTTAAATATTGAATTTACCTTTATTTATTTGATTAGGTGGTTTTAATTGACTCGTTTAAAAGGTTGTTGGAAAATGTAACCAACATAAATTTGCCTGTAGGTTGGAATTATTTTTATGACCAAACAGCAGTCATTTATTATTTCATAAAACATGAATGTATTCAAGAAGTGAAAGCTGTAATTGAAAGAAAAATTGTTTTAACATCAGAATCTATTATACGTTTTTATGCTTATGACAAATTAATAGATAAAGAACAACTTTTGATTAATTTACAATATCCATTTAATTTAACAGACTTAGAAAGAGTTTTCATAATGTTTTACCAAAAACAACTCTGTGTGGGTGGACCAAATGCACTAACTTACCCACGTTAATCTAATATATAAAAGTTTCTAATATTTATTTTACAAACACTAAATATATATTATGTATACAATTAAATATAATATAAATCATTTTATTGAAAGGTATCACCGATAGAAATTCTAAATTAGAAATGAACAATGTTTGGCATCATTTAAATTGTCCCCGTATAATTTCTATGAAACGAAAGAGGAGTGTACAATGTCAAAAACTACTAGCAAAATTTCGGATTAATAATAGTAAATTAAAACACAGTGCTAGAAAATGTATTACAAAACGAATTGGAGGTTCACTTACACCAAATAGAATACTCTTTTATAATGGTATTTTAAAAAACAAAAGAAAACTTATTAAAACAAATAAAAGGTTTGTATATCATATTATAGTACAGTTTTATTAAAACTTTTTCATAATAAAATTGAATTATAATTTATTTGAATCAAGATATTTGTCAAAAATTGAAGACCTTAATAACAAGCTAGGAACTTTACAAAATCAAATGAAGTACATAACAGATGCTTCTTTTGAGACCATAGTCAATAACAATAATTTAAATGAATCTCAAAAAAACATAGTTCAAGAAATTTTTAAAACAAGTAAATTGAATAATTCAAAAAGTAGAAGATATTCTGAAAACTGGATTTTGCTATGTTGACACGGTACGCAGCGGCAACCAGTACAAAGTAAAGGTACCGCAGCGGCCGGTCTACGTTTCTGTCAACCGCCACCACGGGCTACAGCGCGACATTGCCAACTCTCCCACCATACCACAAAGGCAAAAGGCGGGACGGGAAGGCAAGTCGCGCAATACGAGTACCGGCTGCCGAAAATTCTCTCTCTCGTTCGATTACCGTCGTACCGACTACACCCGTGATCAAGTCACCCAAAAATCGCCGTCTGAAGTTAAATTATAATAATTGGATCCGTACATTTACGTTATACGTGTAATACCGTTTTCATCAAAATAAACTATAACCTCCATTACGAATAACGTGTTGTGTTGTGTTCTTGTCCGAAATATCGTGACACCTACACCTTTCACACAACCGCCACTTCAGCGACCGGCTCACCGCGGACATCTATTCATCACCGCCGTAGCCGCGTCAATGTGTTCTTTTTCATATTAGGTTTGAAAATATGTTTAGTGTTTTTTTATTTTAATATTACATGTTCATTAATTTTTTGTACTTTGTTTTAGATCACCGGCTGCGTATACATTCTTGAGAGAGCAAAACATTTTACCTCTCCCATGTCCTCGAAGAGTTCGTCGTTATTTATCACTTATTAGGTCACCCTGTGGTTTTGATGAACAATTTTTTCAGCTTTTTAAAAAAAAACTATCAATGCTATCTGAAAAGCAAAAGCATGGAGTACTTGCATTTGATGAAATCATGCTTTTTAAAAGTTTAGGAGTAAATTCAAATACACTTACTTTTAGTGGTTTGGAAAATCTGGGCAATGACTTATCATCTGACCAGACAGGTATTGAAATGAAAGCTAATCATAGGTTAGTTTTTGTATTTCAGAGTTTAGGAGCAAATTTTTGTCAGCCAATAGGAGTTTTCGCTGCAAAAGGTTCAGTTAAAGGTATTTATATATTTAATAGTTGTAAAATTATGCAGGATCATGATCATGATCACCTTGTATTTTATGTTTTATGTTCATTGTGTGAAATGAAAATCTAACAATAACTGGTATCCCTTTTAGTTACTTATTTATGTATAATGTGATATATTTTAATATAAAATTTAAAATTGTAATAGTAGTTAGTGAAATAGAGTAGTAGTTAGTTACAAAATACATAATTTAATTTTTTTATGTGTTAATATAATAATAATAATTATTATTATAATAGTACTAAAATAAATAGTTAAATGTTTGTGTTATTTTATGTTATATATGTGATATTTTATAGTAGTATTTTTGTGTAGTAAAACATGAATTATGTTCAGTATGATCTGATTTTTTAATTAAATAACTTGTTGAATTAATTTAACAATATATGTAGACATGTAGTAAATTTCTTGTATTACTTTGCATTTAATGTGATATTTTATGGTTTAAGAATAAATAATATTTAAATAGTAAATACATTATAAAATGTACCTATTTGTATATTATGTTAAATGTATATGTTTATTGTGAAATATACTTACGTTTATAATTAAAGCTTGTAATTTGTATGTTTCTATGAGTTCCATTTTATACTAAATAATAACAGAAAAGTGAGGGTAACACTCTTTCATCTGGTTTTAACTTTTAAAGGTGTAGTACTAGCTCAATTGATAATAAAAGCTATATCGCTTCTTGAAGCTATTGGTGCCAAAGTTGCAGTAGCGCACAGAGATATTTTGAGAGCAACTAACAAAAGTTACCCACCCACCCACCAATTTTTTTATTTAAAAAAACGTTCTTTTGAACTGTTATTTGTAACTGTAATTAACTTAAAATGCCTATACTTTATCTATGTACCTATAACCATAGGCGTCTATACCTACCCACCCACCCCCCATGAGAGCACATAACAACACGTATTATTATTAATAATACGTTTTATATTAGAATACGGTGTGGTGGTGTGGCATCCCTACCTAGCTAAAGACGAACTAAGACTCGAGCGTGTACAAAATAGATTTATTTCCTACATTGCCTACATAATGAAGATACCTCACCCTACGCATGACTATTCTTTAATTCGTAGTTCATTTGGTATATTTTACATATATTTTCATTATTATATAAACATAACTCAAAATGTAATTGCAAAAAATTATGAAAATTATGAATCAAATAGTAATGATAAACGTCTGACATTTAGTTCAAAATGATTCATAACATCAGTTTTGTGATTTTCAAAAAATAATGTATCGTCAAATCTATTTTTGGGAATGTGAATTAGTGCCAAACTGCTCAACCTTATATTGGACATTGTAGATCTTACCCATGTCTTGATACGACGCAAAGCATTAAAATAGATAATAATTATAATCAATATTAAATAATTAATAAAAAATATGATTTATAATAATATGTTAGGTACCTAAAGGTTCTTTCAACTGAACAGGAAGTTGCTGGTAATGTAATGGCTATTTGTAAAGCTGTATTTACAGCAGGATAGTATTAGATTCTTCTAGTAAATCAATTATTTATGTATTTGGATCACAAGTTTTTTTTAGCCATATTTCATACCAAGTTATTGCTTCTTCTTCAAAATTATCAAGAAGGGGCCCATATAAGTTATTGATGGATTTAACTACTTCACTGAACTCTTCAATATTCATTTTTATCATTATTTTTGGGTGTAAATTAAATAATGAAAATGATTTTACATTTCCATTAGAGAATCTATCACTAATTGACATTATTATGGAATCTAAGTAGGGAATAAATAAAGATTGTCTAAAAAAGTCATCAATATTATTACTTGGATAATTATCTCGTTGTGTTTGTCTGATAACTCTTCGTGGTATTTTTAACTCTAGACAAATTTTAATTGCAGTTTCTTCTGCTTTTTTGAATATTAAGTTAAATTGACACCCGCTGTTACATCTGTCATTTTTTACAATCTGTACAAGCTCTTGAATGCGTTTTGTGGCTTCTTGTAAATCAATAATCACACCCTGAAGAATAGTAGATATAAATTCAAATTTGGCAGAATACTTTGCTATAATTGATAATAAAATAACAAAATTTGGAGTAGTAATTGCATTTAGAATTTCAAGGCTTCGTTGCTTAGTTTTACTGTTAAAATGTTTTAATGTTTACATTTCTTCTAAACCTTCTACAATAACAATAAACTTTTCATTAAATTGTCTTACACTCTTATGCTTCTCTACAAATCTAGTTTCACACAGTTTAGTTAATTTACAATTACTGGTATTTATTACATTCATGCGAACTGCACTTTCTTTAAAAAATGTTATAGTGTCCTTTATTTTGGTAAGACAATTCCTAACTTCAGGCAAGACATTTAAATCATTGATAACTAAATTAAGGCGATGACTAGCGCAATGAAAAAAATGGGCTCTAGGATACATATCCTTAATTCTCTTTTGTACTCCAGATATACATCCAGCCATAGTGGCACACCCATCATAGCCTTGACCCACACATTTGTTTAAATCCAATTTCATATGATTACATGCTTCTAATATTGTTTTAGGAATGAACTCGGGATCAAATTCTTTTAAAGGATAAAACCCAATAAATTCTTCATGCAAATTGTTATCTTTTAAAAATCGTAAACTAATGGATAACTGTTCAATGCCACTTATATCTGCTGTTTCATCGGCAATAATAGAAAAACAAGAAGCTTCATTAATTTCTTGTGATATAACAGATTTTAATGTTGCAGACATTGATTCTAACATCTCATTTTGTGTACGGTGAGAAATATAAGTTAAATTTTTAGGGGCATTTTCCAAATGATCTTTTAAAATATTATCCCCGGCATCAATTCTGAATTGTAATAACTTATTAAAAACAGCTGAATCATCCGTTTTTCCCCTTATGGGTAAATTATGTAATGCACAAAAATATAGTGATGATAATATAGGTATTAATTTCTTTCTATTTGCATCAATTTTATTTTTGTAGTTTGTATTTATCATCTGATGTACACTAGAATTTTTACTCGTCATATTTATAAAATCATTGAAGCGTATAGAAGATTCAATATGCCATTGAGTTTTTGAATGGTTGTTTGCTTTTTCTAAAAACTTTTGATAACGTTGGAAAGGCTTATTTATAAACTGTCATTGAAAACCTCCATGAGATACATGAGTTTGAAATAAAACACAGTATAGACAAAATGTGCCCTTAAATATTTTTGAATAAGCCAGCCAAGGATAAATTGAAAACCACTTAAATAAAAATGCACGATTTCCAACAACAATATCTTTCTTAAAATTATAATGGATACTTGGAACCCAAGGATTCTTCAATAATTTATACTTAAAATCTTCAGTAATATTTAAATTATTTTTTATATAATGTCCAATATCATATTGATCACAATCATTTTCAACAGCAAGATCATTTGTTAAAACTTCATTAACACCTCGATTAACACTGATCAATTGTTTTGGTCTATCATGATCCTTCTATATTAAAAAAATGTTACTAGTTTACAACTTGAATTAGGTATATGAAAATATAATATTAATATTACACTACTAAAATCTTACATGAATTATTTGGTTACTAAATTATTTATATTTTAATAGAATAAAATTTAACGAAATATTATTTATATTAATTTATTGTAAATATGTTTTTTTTTATTTATTTACATATTTTCAAATTGTTGATGAATATATCATAATTTTTCCTTGCATATTTTGTCTATTTTAGCTCCTATAACTTCTCGTCCCTAGTCATGAGTATTGAATTCAACAGTCTAATCAGTAACTGTAATTAATATCCCCATTTTCAACATAAATAAAATATTTGAGATTAACTTAATTAAATAAATATTATGACATTTTTTTACTAATAAAATATATACTATAAACAAAATTAGTTTAAAGAGTAACATATTTATATTTATTTATACTTTTATATTTAATTTATAATAAAAAATGATAGATCCAGTCTTAAAATTAAGTAAAGTAGGTACTAAATATTAATTGAAAATTAATAATAATAGGTATGTTAAAATTTTTATTCGAGTAAGTACTTACCAAAATTAGGTTTTGTGACCCTACTGTCTCATCTGTATCTCTTTGTGGCAAAGGAACATTTGACTCAGGTAATGGTTTAATTTTTTTTTGAAAAAAACTCAATATTGAGTCTTCTTTTCTTTTATTACTCATAATTATAATAATTTTTGTAGCTGAATTACGAACTAATAACTATAACAACTATAATATCTCTTAAACTCGGTAATTTAAATCGCAATAACTAGTAATGAACATGAGTATGAACTAGACGCTAACTACGAATACGTATCGACGTATACGTATCGTAATTCACTGGGACGAGTAGGACTGAGGAGAGTGTTACTTGTTATCGAATATTCTCGATTATCGATCGTGGTAATATAATAATTTTTTTGTTTATTAAAAAATCTCAGTGGGTGCAATGGCACCCCTGCCCCCCCCCCCCGTATGTACGCCACTGACTGTGACTATGTGTGTGTGTGTGTGTATGTATGATATAGTCGAAACAATGTACATCAGTATATTATATATATTTTTAAAAGGGTAAATAAAAGGGGAGGTAATGTATTTGAAGGAGAAGGCGTAAAATATATGTCGGTCACGGGTCGGATCGGGTGGCTTGTGACGAGTTTATGTGTGTTGCGGGTTGCCTATATTGAGTAATTAATACAAGTTTGGGAGGAGCCTGTTCTACGAATTGCCTATACAGAGAAGCCTGTGCTTTTACATGTAAAGTTTAATGAGGAGGAGCTGCTGAACCTACATAATTATCCTACTCTCATAGTTCTATAGGTGAAAAAACTGCAGCCATTTTTACAGCAAATGTAATGAATGTTAAAAGACGATTTGGAATGAATTTAATTTAATTTTTTGTATTATAAAATGAATCTAAATTTAAATAAAAAACAATTTAATAAAATATTGAAAGGTCATAATAGTAATAAAGATGTATCAATTATAATTGAAAATAATCAAATTGTTAGTGGAAAACATAAATTTATTCTTGAGCCAGAACAAATAAGAAAATTAAAAAACGCTAAAAAAAATAATACCAGATCAAGATTAGAACTTAAACATGTTCAAATTAAAAAAGGTGGATTTTTACCAATAGCTATTGCTGTGTTTGAAGCTGCAAGTGTTTTGGCTGCTGGTGCAAGTGCAGTTTATTCACAGTAACAACTAACCGTGTACCATTGCTAAGACGTCTCTTAGAATCTAGGCTCCTAAGCAACATGACAATAGAACCGAACTATGCGTCAATTTATACCGCGGCAGTCCGTCTGGTTTCAGAGTGTTGAGAAACTCTGTCGGATAATTGGCCACTTCGTCGGGGTCGTCGACCACCACAGTGTCTATGGCCGTGTAGGTTCGGTGAACTCCGTCATGCGTTGTAACAACGTATTATTGACCTGCCTGCATTCGTCGTTCCTCGGACATAAAATTATTTTTCGAGCAAACTCGTTGACGTTAGCCATAATAATTACTACTCGCCTATTAAAAACCTATTTTAAGTTTAAACGATACTATTAAATTCCCACAGATCCTTACAATTTCATATTCACTACTATAAATATATCATGTATATTATAACAATATATATATATGTATTAATGAGTGAGTAGTAATTATAATGTTAACTATAAATTTTTAAACAGAAATGTTGTACTACTGTCTACACGAATGTGTATTCAATGCAATGTTAACCAAAGTTATTCGTTGTATAGAAATACGTAAAATTGCATTACCTATTACTTCAAGTTGTAGTGTGTTGAACTACAAGTTGAAGTAATATTTTTATTTGATTACAAATATAGTTTGTTAATGAGTGTCAGTGGCGCCGAACCTATATAGTAAGGGTGGCAACCGCCACCCCTTTTAAATGGGTGGGCGGTGGGTCCTGTTATGCAGGTGGGCAAATATCAAACAGAAGAAATTTGACGGTTAGATACTGAGTGTTCGATAGTAAATTAGTACTTGGAATCAAAAGTGCAACGACTGTAACGTCTATACGCCGTGTCGCTGTATTCCTGTGTATTAATGAAGTAGGTAGTATATAGATGTATTCATTATAGACGTATAGTGAACAGTTTAAATTGTGTTATCTATTATTTTTACATTATCAGTTAGTGGTTTTTCGTACTGTGAAGTGGCTATTTTTAGCCAACTTTTTTCCTGTAAAAGCCAGTAATGATATAATTATTATATTGATATAAAATTATAAAAAAGTGCTCTGCTGTACAGTAGATTACAAGTGGGTCACTGTATAATGGATATTATTAAATTTGAATTCAATGATATAATATCATTGTATAAGAAAAACAATTCTGAGCGGAGACGGTATATCAGTCTAGGTATAAGACATATTATATACTTATCTATCGTATTAAAAAAATTTACCTAAAATAGGTACCTATAAGAAATTCCAAATCAATCATATCACAATATCCATCAGGTACTTATAATGCGTTATACGTCAACAACCAACCCTGATACTATCTTAGTCCATACTTAGTCCATTCTTATACTTTATAAATTGCACCTATAATAAATTCCAAATTAATAATATCGTAATAGCCATTAGATACTTATAACCCGTTATACATTAACAACAAATCGTTATATTATCATAGATATATAATAGTGTACTATAAAAGTTTCAAGTACCCACGAATAATATTACACAATCACAACAAAATAGATAACTAAAATAGTTATTCTAGGTTTTTTTTATGTAATTTTGTCGAAAGTTGAACTTAAAATGACTATAAAAATAAACTGTGCTTATGTATTTTTTAGATTTTTTGGTAACAGAATTTACTACTTACGTGTAATCTTGCTTTAAATTTTCAATCCTTAGATATAAAAGTTGAACATTTTATACATTTTTAACTACAAAATAATTATTCAATTTTAAATTTCATACATTTTGTCAAAATTCGATCTTTAAATGCTTATAAAAAACAATTGTGCCTAAGTATTTTTAATATTTTTCAACTGATATTGTAACAATATATCAGGAGCCTTGTATTACATTTTTACGCTTTTTAGCCCAACAGATAAAACTTTATTGATATAAAAGAATAAAAAACTAAAAAAATGGGAAACTGAAAATGTCCGTAAACAGCTCAAAAAGAGTCAAAATATTTTCGATTGAATAAATCGAATAAATCGATTGAATATCCAAAATTGTAAAAATTTGAATTTCAAACGCTCATAAAAATTTAATTTGACTTTCTTAAAGACATTTTTTTTTTGATAAAGGTATATAATCTTATTAGGAATCTTGTATTACATTTTAAAACCTTAGATTTAAAAAGAAAAATTTTTACGAATTCTTAACTCAAAATAATTTGCTAATTTTCGTGATTTTTCCATATTTTGTCAATTTTTGAACTTAAAATGCTTATAAAAAAAAAACT